CAATGAGATAACCAATATGATGTAAAACAGCATGTTGTCCATGAGCAACTGGAACAAAGATCATACCCTAAATCCACGAACATAGTAGCCTTGAACCCCCAGTAGTACAGTAGTGACAACAACAACAACACATTCGAGGTCGTTAACTTGAGTCAAGCCTATATGGTTCCAGATATCCTTCTGGTACGAGTGCTTGGCCTGCAAGTGCCAGAGCCCCATTACTTCCATCAATATCCTGGTTGGCCATCTTTGGGTCTCCAAGGTCTTCAACAGTCATACGCCATCCTCTCTCTACAACAGCCCAGCCGACTCCTCCACCGCGCCCAACGACCTTGACGAGTTGCCCTTCATCCAGAGACATCTCTGCCGTGCCTTCGGCTTCGAAGGGATAGAGCGCGCGGTAGATACCGGGTTGTAACGGAAGATCGGGGCTGAGGAGATCAGGTGCGCCGCTTTCTGTATACGTATAGTGCGAACCGTCATCGTCACCACCAGTAGAATGGGTCATTTGTGCTAGCGGTGTTAGTTCCGCATCTTCATATCTCCATCGATGGTCCCAGTTGCCGTCTTCGTCTTCGTCATCCCACACTTCGTCGTCGTCATAGGAGGTCGACCGGTCGTGTGCTTGTCCTTGCAGTCTCTTCTCTCTTTCGTCGAGCGGGAGCAGTTCCAAGGGTAGCCGGCTGAATCGTTCGTCATCTTCGGGGTAGGCAAAGTCACGGACAATGATTGGCTTTGGTGGAGATGGAAGTATCTCTTTTTCCTCTGATTGAGAAGCTTCTTGTGATCGTGCTCGTCCTTCTTCTTCTGTCATGGATAGAGGGTTGAAGGACATGCTGAGTCTACTCTGCCGTCGAGAAGATTTGATGTCGTCGACGACAATCTCACCCCGTGAAGAATTGGCATCTCTGGACGAGGTATTGGAATATGTACTCCTCCTCGTAGAACTGCCCCGCCTCACAAGACTTCCCCGCCTCGAAGGAGCTGGTGAGGGTGGTGCTGGTCGTGAGGAATGCAGTGAAGAGGCCAACGAGTTCCTCTTGTTGGGCGTAGAGTCGGAAAGAAGTTCAGGAGTGACGGTGATAGTCTGGGTGAGATCTGCAGACGTTGTAGAAAAGGAAGGTGCAGAAGGAGTTAGAAGGCCAGTCGTAGTCGCTTGGTCGTTCATCGCTGCGGGCGGGTCGTCTTTCGATATGATTTGTGTGGATGTAGAGGGCTTTTGATCTTCAGAGTGTTCAGCCGGTTCCTGCTTTGTTGAGACTCCTGCTAGTATTCTCGACGCCAGCAAAGTCAATGGAAGCGTCAGCCCCAACCCTGCTCTCAGTCCTACTTCTTCTCTTGCTCTGGACAGTGGAATAGTGATGGATCAACGACGAGCATCCGATGCCTTCCTAAGTCAAAATTCTTCTGCCTCACCCGCTGGGAGGGGTGGTAGAAGTCTTTCGGATGCTCCAAGGCCATCAAATAGTAGCGACTTGGGAACCAGCAAACCATCTGATGGAACGAAGGAAGTCGCGCCCCCAACCGGTGGGCTTAAACAAGAAGAGGCCCCACCAACTCAAAGAAACCAAAAGGATACAAAAAGTGGTGAATCTGGTATGGCTTATCCCCTTCCACTCGTCCTGAGATATCACGTGCTGACGTCGAGAATACTAGCAGGAGTCTCAACAAAGCAGGAACCGGCTGAACACTCTGAAGATCAAAAGCCCTCTACATCCACACAAATCATATCGAAAGACGACCCGCCCGCAGCGATGAACGACCAAGCGACTACGACTGGCCTTCTAACTCCTTCTGCACCTTCCTTTTCTACAACGTCTGCAGATCTCACCCAGACTATCACCGTCACTCCTGAACTTCTTTCCGACTCTACGCCCAACAAGAGGAACTCGTTGGCCTCTTCACTGCATTCCTCACGACCAGCACCACCCTCACCAGCTCCTTCGAGGCGGGGAAGTCTTGTGAGGCGGGGCAGTTCTACGAGGAGGAGTACATATTCCAATACCTCGTCCAGAGATGCCAATTCTTCACGGGGTGAGATTGTCGTCGACGACATCAAATCTTCTCGACGGCAGAGTAGACTCAGCATGTCCTTCAACCCTCTATCCATGACAGAAGAAGAAGGACGAGCACGATCACAAGAAGCTTCTCAATCAGAGGAAAAAGAGATACTTCCATCTCCACCAAAGCCAATCATTGTCCGTGACTTTGCCTACCCCGAAGATGACGAACGATTCAGCCGGCTACCCTTGGAACTGCTCCCGCTCGACGAAAGAGAGAAGAGACTGCAAGGACAAGCACACGACCGGTCGACCTCCTATGACGACGACGAAGTGTGGGATGACGAAGACGAAGACGGCAACTGGGACCATCGATGGAGATATGAAGATGCGGAACTAACACCGCTAGCACAAATGACCCATTCTACTGGTGGTGACGATGACGGTTCGCACTATACGTATACAGAAAGCGGCGCACCTGATCTCCTCAGCCCCGATCTTCCGTTACAACCCGGTATCTACCGCGCGCTCTATCCCTTCGAAGCCGAAGGCACGGCAGAGATGTCTCTGGATGAAGGGCAACTCGTCAAGGTCGTTGGGCGCGGTGGAGGAGTCGGCTGGGCTGTTGTAGAGAGAGGATGGCGTATGACTGTTGAAGACCTTGGAGACCCAAAGATGGCCAACCAGGATATTGATGGAAGTAATGGGGCTCTGGCACTTGCAGGCCAAGCACTCGTACCAGAAGGATATCTGGAACCATATAGGCTTGACTCAAGTTAACGACCTCGAATGTGTTGTTGTTGTTGTCACTACTGTACTACTGGGGGTTCAAGGCTACTATGTTCGTGGATTTAGGGTATGATCTTTGTTCCAGTTGCTCATGGACAACATGCTGTTTTACATCATATTGGTTATCTCATTG